AGGTTCATTTGGGAACATATGGTCCTTCAAATAGCTTTGGCCTGAGCCTGAGTTCTATACAAGTAGAATCCCACCCCATTATGGAGAACCTTAATTCCGCATCTCATAGAGAGCATTGTCCACATGCAGGGTAGGCCGTCCATACCAGTTATGATAAAAATCTGGAAAAAAAATGCAAGGCCGCACATGATTAAACTGCATTTTTTGAGCAACTGGAAAGGACTACAAAAAGGCAGTAAAGGAACAAATAGTCAATTTTGTATGCTTGACCACAGCTGTAATTCTTTTTTTAAACAAAACTATGGCAGTAAATGGACTACATTAAAATATAGACAAATATTTTAAAAATAAATGCCAATGGAAAAACTAGGAAAAATGAGCCCACCTAAAGTATAAAGAGATGAAGGATCCATGACTGACCAATCCAGTGACATAAACATCTTCCATTTAAATGACAAAGGAGGAAGAAAGGCAAGCTCACAAGGCTGCTAAACTGAATTTTACATTTTGTTTATCTCCATCCTGGAACAGTCAGGATGTTCTTATTCCAAATAATGCCTTGGCCCCCAGATCTTCCGAGGGGCTGGCGTCGCATGTGCATGACTCCGGACACCATTTGTCTTCCAAAATGGTGGCGGGTGCGAGCAGCGGCGGGCCAGTAGGAAGCCCTCGGTGGGCCCGCGGGCCATAGTTTGGGGACCCCTGCTCTAGAGCATAGAGAGTTGCCTTGTACTGAGTCAGTGTTTGCTCTTGAGCTCAGTATTGTCCACATGAAGGAGTGGAGAACCTATGAAATGCCACTTTTTGCAGTCTAATTCCCATCAACTGGCCATTCAGTGGTCAGAGATGATGGACTCTATAGTCCAAAAGCATCTGGATGACTTCAGGTTCCTCACTCACTATATACCTCCTGTTAGTATTCAAAAACACAGCTATATTAGTGTGAATCCACCAAACAGTAAATACTTTTATTGGGCCAGCCAAAACAGACAATATACATGTTGCAAGCTTTCAAAGCTCCGCTGGCTTCTTCATCAGGCAAGGTGTTAAAAACCATACAGGAGAAAAAAACTGAAGATGTTAGTCCTAAATCTGTATTCTCAAAGTCCAGGAAATGTAACTTCCATTTGCAACACAAAATGATACTTCCTTTTCCAATACAGTATGTGGCCTCACAAAGGATGGAGATATTCTGGATTGCAAAGGAAGTATCTTTTTGTGTTGCAAATGGAAATCAATTTCCTGATATTTTATAATCTCCCAGTTGCTACATGGCCAGAAGGAGGAGGAACCTGCCTGCCTGCAAGAATACCCTTCTATATCATCTCTAAACTGAGAACAACAAAATGCAAGCCTATGACTGACATCTTCATTTTTTCCTCTTGTATAGTTTATGCTAGATTTTTTTTTTTGTCTCACAGGTGCTACAAGATTGCATCTTTTTATTTTGATACTGACAACAGTTCTCAGGTATTCAAGCAAGCGTATTTTGTAGTCTTACCCGGGGATGCTAGAGACTAAATCCTTTTTAGTCTCCTTTTTTTCTCCTGTAATCCCTTTTACTGTAAACCGCCTAGATTGGTCCGCCACCGGGCGGTATATAAATAAATTTTATTCTTCTTCTTCTTCTTATTATTATTATTATTATTATTATTATTAAACTCAAATATTTCTGTATGTAAAGCATGTGTCCCAAAAACAGCCTCAGTTTTGAGGTGGGGTGCATATTTTGCATGTAGAAGCTCCCAAGTTAAGTCCCAGGCTGCTGCCGCACTGCAGAATTAATGCAGTTTGACACTGCTTTAACTGTCATGGCTCCATTCTATGAAATCCTGGGATTTGTAGTTCATGTTGGCACCAGAGCTCTGACAGAGAAGGCTAAATATCCCACAAAACTGCAAATGTCAGAATCCCATAAAGCGGTGTCAAACTGCATTATTTCTGCAGTGCAGATTGCAGCCCCAGACATTTCCAGGTAGGAGTGGGACAACCTCTTTGTGAAACCTTAGGGATGTGCTACTAGTCTATTGAGCTATATAGATGAATAGTCTGACTCACTTGAGGCATTTCCCTATGGGTGGGAATTGTGTGGCTCTCCAGCTGCTGTTGGACTGCAACTCCAAGCATCCCTCACCATTAGCTATGCTGACTAGGACTGTTGGAAGGTTCAGTCCAACAATGTCTGGAAAGCCACAGGATTCCTGCCCCGATTCTAACCCTAATGTTGGTTGCAACTTAAGCAGATCCACTGAAGCAATGGTAGCTTGATAAATGAACACTTACCTAAGTTCCATTGATTCAATGACAGCCAGCATGGTTTGAGTGTTGGACTACAACCCAGGGTTTGATTCCCCACTCAAGCATAAAAGCCCACTGGAAGACCTTGGGCAAGTTACACTCTCTCAGCCTCAAAAGGATGGCAATGGCAAAACTCCTCTGAAGAACTTTGCCAAGAAAACCCTATGATAGGGTTGTCATAAGACAAAAATGACTTGGAGGCACACAACAATATCTGGGGCTAACGATTGGATTTGGTTGGTCCATTGTGGCATAGTGGTTTGAGTGCCGACTAGGGACGTTATCACATGGGGCTCAGTCCAAACAGAATCCAAACGAAATCCCGCCCGAATCTGGATTATTTGCCCGTGTTTTCACACGACGTTGCACAGAACCCCGACAGAAAGTGGAAAGAACCGAGATCTTTTGAATTTCGGTTTTTTGAGGAATTGCAATTGCGCGATGAGGATCATTTAGCATTTACCGTAAGTATGATAACCAAATACGTATTGGGGAGCATTTCCCCGTCATTACCCATGGTTTCCGCGAGCATTACTCTATCTGCGCAGGAGGCTCATTTCTGCTACATTTACGGGTTTTTTTCTCGTGTGTGGACGTTCGATACACTTACTGTAAATGCACAATGAAGGTAATGACGTTTGCGGAAACAAGATTTATTTCCCGTTTATTTTCGGGATGCCTCGTTTCCACTTTATTTTCAGTTTCTGGGCCACGTGTGATAACGTCCTATGACTGTGAAGACCAGGGTTCAAATCCAGGCTCAGTCATGGAAACCCACTGGGTGACCTTGGGCAAGTCGCACTCTCTCAGCCTCAGGGGAAGGCCATGGCAAACCCCCTCTGAAGAAACCTGTCAAGAAAGCCCCATGATAGGGTTACCTTAGGGTTGCCCTAAATTGGAAAGGACTTGAAAGCACCCAACAATAGGATTTATGCCACGGATGGGAATCCTAGAGTCCTCCAAACAGTGCTGTATAGCATCTCCCAGCAACCCTAGCTAAAAACATGGTGGATGCTGCATTTCAACAACATCTTGAGAACCACATCATTTCTAGCCCCAGTTTAGACCCATGTTTGGAAATAAATCACCAATTATGACACAGAAAATGTTTATTTTTGCCTTCTCTGCAATCTTCCTCATCGTATATTAAGATTATGGCTGTATCCGCACTGCAGAAATAATCCAGTTCGACACCACTTTAAGTGACATGGCTCAATGCTATTGAATTGTGGGAATTGTAGTTTATTGTGGCAACAGAGCTCTCTGAAAGAGGTTAAATGTCTCACAAAACTACAAATCTCAGAATTCCACAGCTATGAGCCACGGCAGCTAAAGTGGTGTCAAACTGGATTATTTCTGCAGTGTGTTTTGGACCAGAGAAGGTTAACTGTCTCACAAAACTACAAATCCCAGAATTCCACAGATTGAGCCAAGGCAGTTAAACTGGATTATTTCTGCAGTGTGAATGCAGCCTCTAAATCTTAAGTTTGAGGTCTGACGCTACTTTAACAACCATGGATGATTCTATGTAGTCCTGTGATTTGTAGTTTGCCGTTATTAGTAGTGATTAGTTGTGGTTTGTAGTTTGTTGTGGCACCAGAGCACTCTGACAGAGAAGGCTAAACGTCTCACAAAACTACACTTCCCAGAATTCCCTAGTACTGAGCCACAACAGTTAAAGCGGTGTCAAACTGGATTATTTCTGCAGTGCGGATGCAGCCAAAGCCTTTTTAAAATACTAAAAATCTATCCATGGTCCCTTTCCCCGCCTTCTTTCTGAGGACTTCCTCCAGAATCGCGCTCTTCAGAGCAGTCTTCCGCAGAGGAAACATCGCCTTTTCCTTTACGGACGCCATTTTGTATTTTAAAAACCTGACACAGCTAAAAAAAAAAGAGAGAAGCGAGGCGAACGGCCTACAGTACCACCCTCAAGCCTCCAGGTGACGCTACGGCCGAGTCTAACCAAAACGGAAACGTCGCCCCGCAAGAGCCTCGTCACTTGGTGGACGCTCTGGCCCCTTCTGCTCTCGCTTCTCCTTTGCCCGGGGAAGGGCGGGGGGATGTCGCTCCTGCTCCAAAATGGCGGCCGCGAGGAGGAGTCTCCTGCAGAGTGTGAGTAGTCGGCCTGTACCATCGCGGAGGCTGGAGAGGGGGGCATGCAGGGAGGAATGTACCACCTCCTGGGTTCAAGGGAAGGGTTTTTCTCTCTCTGTATGTCAGTACTCTGAATAATACTTGCTACACCAAAAGGGCGTGTGGGTTATTTCTGTTGAAAAAAAAAAGGCGGGGCGTTCCTTCTCCCACTAGCTATGGAGTGTAAGGGCCTGTTCACACTACACACTTACAGCGCTATAGTTCCGCTTTAACTGACTGGACAACAGCATCCTGTGGAATCCTGGGATTTGTAGCTTGCTCTCTGGCTGGGAATTCTAAATTGTTGCTGTTGTGTGCCTTCAGGTCGTTTCATGGGGTTTTCTTAGCGAGTTTCTTTAGAGTGGGGTTGCCATGAGGCTGAGAGAGTGTGACTTGCCCAAGCTCACCCAGTGGGTGTTTATACTCCAGTTGGTGTGTGCCTTCAAGTCCTTTCATAGGGTTTTGTTTTTTTTTTTTTTTTTGCAAAGTCTCTTCAGAGGAGAGTTTGCCATGGCCACTTTCTGAGGATGAGAGAGTGTGACTTGCCCAAAGACACCCAATAGGGTTAATGGCTGAACTGGCATTCGAACCCTGGTCTCTAGAGTCTTAATCCAACACTCAAACCACTACACCACACTGGCTCTCAATGGGCCAACCAAATCCTATTGTTAACCCAGCTAGTTTGTTGTTGCTGTTGTGTAGACCTCTAAGTCATTTTTGACTTATGGCAAACCTGTCATGGACTTTTCTTGTCAAGTTTCTTCAGATGGGGTTTTTCGTTGCCTTCCTCTGAGGCTGAGAGAGTGTGACTTGCCAAGGTCACCCAGTGGGTTTCCATGACTTAGCCTGGATTCGAACCCTGGTCCCCAGAATCCTAGTCCAATGCTGAAACCTAAGCTGCAAGTCCTATGATTCCATAAGATATCGCCATAGCAAAAAAATAAAATAAAATAAAATAAAAATGGAATCATAGATCCAAAACACACTGCAGAAATAATCCAGTTTGAGACTGCTTTAACTGCCCTGGCTCAGTGGTAGGGAATCCTGGGAATTGTAGTTTGTTGTTGCACCAGAGCTCTCTGACAGAGAAAGTTAAATGCCTCACAAACACTAGTTCCCAGAATTCCCTAGCATTGAGCCTGGGCAGTTAAAGTGGTCTCAAACTGGATTATTTCTGCAGTGTGTTTTGGACCATAGTAGGTAGTATAATAATGTGAAAGGGCCCCTTTACCGTCCCCATAGGCATTGTCCAAGATACTCATTCATCCAATATTTGTGGGTCCAGGAGTCTGGCCTCTCCTCTGTGGCAAAAATACTGACACTCTATGGACACAAGGTGCCCAGATGTCCTAACCTCAAAATGTAAGACATTGAGGACTAATGGAGGACATTACTCATACAAACACTCCTATAACTGTAAATTCATGCTTCTTAGTCATGCTCAAAATGGAGGGCATTTTGAAGTTCCTCTTGGTTTGAAGGTTGAAATGGAGGACATGTCCTGGGAAAAGAGGATGTCTGGTCACCCTGGCTCAAAATGGAGGACCTTTTGGAATTCCTTCTGAACAGAAGGTGGGAATGGAGGACACGTCCTGGGAAAGGGGATGTCTGCTCACCCTGGCTCAAAATGGAGGACTTTTTTGGAATTCCTCCAGGACAGAAGGTTTAAATGGAGATGTCCTGGGAAAAGGGGATGTCTGGTCACCCTGGCTCAAAATGGAGGACCTTTTGGAATTCCTCCTGGACAGAAGGTGGAAATGGAGGACACGTCCCCGGAAAGGTGATGTCTGGTCACCCTGGCTCAAAATGGAGGGCTTTTTGGAATTCCTCCTGGACGGAAGGTGGAAATGGAGGACATGTCCTGGGAAAGGAGGATGGCTGGTCACCCTGGCTCAACAGGGAGGACCTTTGGAATTCCTCCTGGACAGAAGGTTGAAATATAGGATAGGTCCTAGACAAGCAGGATGTCTGATCACCTTGTCCAAGGTTGGAAGGATGAACATTCATCATTCCTTGTTCATTGGTCAGAAGGTCGAACTGCTTTATCGGTGGATAAATGTATATTTTATAGAGTAGCATTTACTGGAGGAAGAGCAGCAGGAATGTAGAATCAATGAAAGTATCCCCAACCTCATTTAAACAGGGTACATCTTTTATGAAATACTAAATGCAATGCTTTTGGGGAAGCTGACATTTGGGGGAGCTTCTTCTGTTCTGTAATGGACAAGGAAGTTTACCCTTTCATCTTACATTGGTTCAACATTGCTGTTGCTTTGTAAAGAGAAAAGAGCCATAGCTTCCTAGAGGCGTATCTGTTCCAAAAGCGTCAGCAAAACGTTCCTGATCTGAAGCTAAATAAATAAATAAAAATAATTCACATCATGCATGAAAAAGAACTTGCGTGGTAGGAAAGCTTGACTTTTCTTTTTCAAAGATATAGCTATGTTAATCTGTAGAATCAGTATGTAGAGAGATCTTGTCCATTTTAACTGCCCTGGCTCAATCGTAGGGAATCATGGGAACTGTAGTTTATTGTGGCACCAGAGCTCTCTGACAGAGAAGGCTCAGTGTTTCAGAAAAAAACTACAGTTCCCATGATTCCCTAGCACTGAGCCAGGGCAGTTAAAGTGGACTCAAGCTGCATTATTTTTAGCAGTCTGTAAAGGCCCTTAAGTCTACTTCCTCAGTGGAGTGGAAAGCCAGGGACTTTTCAATTATGGTAATGAAAATGCATGAGCTTTGCATTTTCAGGACTAGCTCAGGACACATACATTTAAGTCTCAGGCTAGGTGGTTTAGTTTAATTTGTGTGGAAAGGTTTCACAACAAAAGAAGAATCTGGTTGGATCAGATCAAAGGTTGTTTTGCCAAATTGTTTAACCACAGCCAGCATGGTGTAGTGGTCTGAGCATAGGACTTGGACTCAGAAAATTGGGATTCAGTTCCCCACTCAGCCATGGGAACCCATTGAGTGATCTTGGGCAAGTCACACCAAATAAAACCACATGATAGGGTTGCTTTAGGGCAGAGGTAGGCAACTTTTACCTACCTCGGGCCGGTCCGCTGGTCCGGAGCTATTCTGAAGGCCGGGGGGGAAATGGCGCCGCGCACACTCGCTCGTGCATGCGCAGTATGCCAAAAGTACTGCAAAGCAGCTAAAGCAAAGCAGCTTCATTTATATACCGCTTCATATCGCACTATGGGATGTCTAAGCGGTTTACAACTGTAAGCTCATTGCCCCCCAACAGTTGGGTACTCATTTTAGTGACCTCGGAAGGATGCAGGCCTGAGTCGAGCCTGAGCCCTGGCTGGTATTGAACTCGCAACCTTGTGGTCTATGAGTGAGTGGCTGCAGTACAGGCATTTAACCACTGTGCCACCAGGGCTCCCTGCGCATGTGTGCGCACGCTGGCGTGTGCATACACAATACTTTCAGCATACTGCACATGCGAGAGCGAGTCGCGGCCACCATTTTGGAAAACAAAATGGCGGTCACAACTCATTTGCGCATGCGCAGTACTCCAGCACATGCGCGAGCAAGTCACGGCCGCCATTTTGGAAAACAACATGGCAGCCGTGACTCATTCGTGCATGCGCAGTACTCCAGCGCATGCGTGAACGAGTCGCAGCCGCCATGTTGGAAAACAAAATGGTGGTTGTGACTCGCGTGGGGGCGGCAGCGGCGGCAGGACTGGGCTGGGGCGGTCCAAAGGCCTCACGGGGCTGGGGCCGGCCCGCGGGCCATAGGTTGCCAATCCCTGCTTTAGGGCGTTAGGATCTCCATAAGTCGGAAGGACTTGAAGGCATACAGCAACGAATAGCCTGGACCCAAGCCACATCACTAAATCCCATAGCTTAAAGTGCACTGTGTGAATAGAGTTTCCTTTTGTATGTTCCGGATGAAGGAGGACAGGGAAGCAGGACCAGCAGAGTACCAGCTGGAGGAGAGGTATGTGTGAATAACATAATAAAGCTGAAGAAAATCGTGACAGATACTGAAGCAAAAGGAAAGTCAGGTCTCTGTCACACTGCAAAATCATAGCATTTTGATTTGGACACCACTTTACTGCCAACGTTCCATCTAATGGAACCCTAGGATTGTATAGGATGCAGTTTCAGTTGTATCACAGTGCTATAATAGTATAGTTTGAAAGAGACCTCAGTAGGAGTTTATCAGCTAATTTATCACATTGCCCTAATGGAGAGGAGAATGTTTCAACTGGTGTATAATCACTGTCCCTTCTGCTTTTGCTGGAAAGAAATTATTAGGGGTTCTTTCTTCTCTTGTTATCCAGGAACAACTATCAAGCTGGACAGATGACTTGCCCCTTTGTCAGCTTTCGGGTGTGGGTTCAGCTCCTAATCGTTCCTACACTGCAGATGGAAAGGGAACAGAAATCCACCCCTTAGAAGACAATTGGTTGAAATTTAGGTGAGTAGCCTGTGGATTTGAGTGGAACAGTTGATCACAGCACTGGCACTATTTTAACGCTTTAATCTGGTAATGCGTATTGTCTGGTGGGTAAACCAGCTTGTTATTCCAGGGTCACACACTATATGTCACTCTCTTAACTTTCCCATCCTTTTCTCCTTTGGCAGAAGTGAAAACAACTGCTACCTCTATGGAGTCTTCAATGGTTATGATGGTAACCGGATCACAAATTTTGTGGGAGAGAGGCTCTCTGCAGAGCTCCTCTTGGGCCAGCTGAACGCAGACCATGATGATGCTGATGTGCGTAGAATCCTTCTGCAGGTAATGGAGCTCTCCTTTGGAAGAAATCAGGCACAAATCTGTGTTCCCATTTTTTTGTACCACAGGGCAGGGTCTTTTGGCTGAATGTGGAGGAGATAGAGAGGGAGTATGCTAATTTGTGAGTCTCTCAAGATGGATGCAGTGGATACAGGGACATCACTAGGGGGTACAGGCTATAGCAGATGACACCCTAGGGGGGTGACACCACTGACCCTGGGTGGTTTCTCATTTGCATTTGCCGAGTGCTGATTTTTCTATTTTGAGTGCTTCTCATTGCTACCCCATCTCTCTGCTCGTAGAATCCATTGTCCAACTGGAAATACTTGTGGTGAGGCAATGTCTGAACAGGGCTGTGATGTCCTCTGGAAAAAAATTGTCAGATAATAATAATAATAATAATAATAATAATAATAATAATAATAATAAAATTATTCTATCCCACCCCTCTGCAGTGCAGTTGGGGCGGCTTACAACAATTAAATTACAATAAAATACATACAGCCTCAAAAACCCACCCACCCCTTATCAATTATTAAACTTAAACAATTAAAAACATTTTAAAATAAATCACAGCATAAAAACAAAAGCATCGCGACAGCAGCATAGAAAGGGAGAAAAAATAGCTAACTCTTGGATCGGGATAATTATTCAGGAAAGGCCTGCTGGAAGAAATCCATCTTAACAGACTTTTTGAAGCTGTTTAAGGTGGTAATAAGACGGATGAGTGTCATGGTGTCCATTATGGGGATTTTGGGGAACAGGGAGACCACATCAAAGCTGATTAGTATGTCTCTGGGTTTAAGTTCAAGGTTATTGATTTTTCTTATGAAGTGAGCTTGATGTAGGGGTAACTGTGTGGCAAGAAACTTGGCCAAATCATAAATGGGGGATCCAGTGGCACTCATTATGGGTCAGAGTGGAATGAAATCCTTGTGGATCTTGGGAAGTCCATATAGTCTTGGTGGGAGAGCCTCTGATTTGCACAAACTTTGTGTTGTGGTTGGCTGAATTCAGGAGTTTTTAATCAGGGTGTTTGTTTTCCTGGTGATTCCTGCAAAATAGAAAAATCAGCAAATGCGAATGAGAAACCACTCAGGGTCAGGGGCTTTCCCAGCAGACAATGATCACCAATTAGCAGACAATAATCCTCTTGCATATCCTCCCATCCTGAGGTTCTTGCCATCAACAACAGAACAATACACAGTTTACATGGGAATCACTCCTCCCTACCCAGGGTCTCACAGTATATATACCCACTCTCTTCCATTCCAGCATTCTCTGAAGATGCCAGCACAGATGCTGGCAAAACGTCAGAAAGAAGCTCTTCTAGAACATGGCCGCACAGCCCGAAAAACCCACAAAAAACTATGGATGCTGGCCATGAAAGCCTTCGACTTCCCACTTACTTGACTTTAATACTTTATTGACGTTATTGGTAAAACTTTCCCCTAGCACCACATTTCAAATGAATGAATTGAGCTGGGTTGAAAAATTTATTTATAAATTTCACATATCTGGTTTTACAAGCTTCTAATGCATTTTTGTACTTCCTTCCTTCTGGTGCCTCTCAGGCTTTCGATGTAGTGGAGCGGAGCTTCTTGGAGTCCATTGATGATGCACTGGCAGAGAAGGCCAGCCTACAATCCCAGTTGCCAGAGGTAACATCTCCATTTCCTAAGAGAAATGTTACTGAATTCAGGGAGCACTAACTTAATTTTCTCTCTTGAAGAAAGAACATATGCAGTTCAGAAACTTCTGTGGGTTCAAAGTACTGTGGCCAGATTGTTGACTGGGGTTGGTTCCAGGCAAAATACAATTCCCTTGTTGTATCAGCTTCACTGGCTGCCATTCTGTTTCCAGGCAGAATCCAAAGTACTGTGATATATAAAGCCCTTGGGAGCCTGCCTGAGTTTTAAGATCTTTGGGACAGAGCTTTCTCTCAGTCCCATCACTGCCACAGGCCCATTGGGTGAGAACATATGAGAGGACCTTCTCAGCAGCAGCTCCCAGCCTCTGGAATTCCCTCCCACATGAGGCTCAGTTGTCCCTTTTTCTGTTCTTTTTTTGTGCTGGCAGGCAAATACCTTTTTGTTTAGATATGCCTTGGCTGTTACCTGGTTGTGGCAGAAAAATCTTTCAACTGAGTGTGCTATACTTTTATATTTTCTGCTATGGTTAAAATGTTTTTAGACTATTTTAAATTAGTATTTTTAATAAGAATGTGTTTCAGGTGGTTTAAAAAAACTTTTTCATTAATAGATTTTTTGTTGTACTTCATTTTAAACTATGTTATAAGCTGCCTGGGGTCCCGTGGAGGGAGAAAGGTGAATTATAAAATGAATAAGTTAATGAATAAAAGTAAAAATATATTGAGGCTGTGAAAAGGTGGAGTCTCTTTTCCATGTACTCTTGCTGGTGCTATCTGAAGAGTCAGTGGTGGTCTAAAATATGCTTTTGGGGGGAAGAGAGAGCGAGCAAGTACCGTATCTTCTTGCCCTATGTGCTCGTGGCTTCTACAAGCTGGGGTGGAATGGCATAGCTAGCACAATGGCCAGCACTGTGCATTGTTTCCTACAATGATTAATCCAGGGGGGAAAAAATCCAAGATTAATCCAGAAAGATATCCAGTCCCATGGCTTTTTGTGTTTATAACCACTAACCACTTGGAATCATTACTTCACCTACAAAACACACCTTTAAAGTGAGGAAGAAAATCCATCCTACTTGTGAGTGCAGCACATCAATTGATGGGTTTTCAGAAATAGGTCATTTACATTAAATGGAACTTGATTCTATGCTATATTGTTTAGGTAAAGACTCAGCTTGTGAAAAGCTTTACAGCTGTTCCTTCAGTGTAAAAAACTCGAGAGTCTTGTATCACTTTAAAAAGAAGCATATTTATTGTGACATCAGTTTTCATTGACTGGAACCCATTTGTTCAAGATGCATAAGTGTTATACGTATATGTATAATATGTTATACATATATACCCATAAGGATATGTATATGCAAGTATACTTCAGTTAATGAATTTGATGTGTTCTTGAGCATTTTTTCCTTGACAGAAAATTTGATACCAGAGGCAGAAATAACATGGAAAGAAAAGGGAGAGATTGCTACAGGACAAAAAAGGAGAGCAGTTCAATATATTTCAGCCAACTTTTTATCCAAAACTAACAAGATGCACACATGAAATTAAACAATCAGTTCAGCTAAGCTTTGCATTAAGGAGCCCTGGTGGTGCAGTGGTTAAATGCCTGTACTGCAGCCACTCACTCATAAACCACAAGTTTGCGAGTTCAGTACTAGCCAGGGCTCAGGCTTGACTCAGGCCTGCATCCTTCCAAGGTCGCTAAAATGAGTACCCAGCTTGTTGGGGGCAATGAGCTTACAGTTGTAAACCGCTTAGACACTGCATAGTGTGGTATGAAGCAGTATATAAATGAAGTGCTTTACTTTAATAAACAAAAACATTTTGACCCTTCTAGAGACCCCTTGAAGGAGTCTTCCAAAATGTATCCAGGGATGATTTTTTTTTTCTTTCACTAGGCTTCACTTCTCTCATTTTGGTGGGAAAACCTATAGGTATATGCTTCTTTAATATCCTGGGGACAACTGTTGTTTATCTAATCTTCTGTAGGTAGGTCCTCATATACAGTAGAAATAGCTACAGAAGAATCCTGCTCTATTGTAGCCAAAGCTACATTATTGTATTACGGCAGACATGTTGCTGCAGTGTGATACAGAAGTCTTCTCCAGCCGTTCTTCCCCACCTCACCCCAGTGCTTATGTTGCTAAAAAAACTTTCCAGGTAGATAGAGGACAAGGAAGAAAAGAAGGGCTGGATAGGCAAAAAATGACTTTGTATAGAGGAGCTTCTTTGTCACAGGTTGAGGTATCAAGGAATCGTGATCTTTTTCTTTTTGTTTTTTGGTGTCAATGTGTATAGTATACTCCAAAGTTTTTCCACTACGTTTTTAGACTTGCTTATATAACGCTGTATTCTAGGGTGTCCCCCATCACCAGCTGCCCTCTCAGTATCAGAAAATTTTGGAGCGGTTGAAGGCTGTAGAAAAGGAAATCTCTGGAGGAGCCATGGCTATTGTGGCTGTCATTCTAAACAGCAAGCTCTACATTGCCAATGTAGGTAAGTTCCCCTTTAATATTTTTTTAAGAAGTGTAACTCAGAACAAAGAAGAGTAGGGCATTTGGATTACTTCATCCTTTTTATATGAGAGAAATACTTCAGTGCCTTCATTCAGGGCTGCTGAACCTAGCTGCAGGGCTCTGCTTGAAACTGTGTCATTTGCAAAAATGGGGAAGAGATGAGAGTGTTACAAGCATGGCTTCAGTATTTTGCCATCAGGTGGTAGTGCTGGGTTGCATTGAGGACATGTATTCATTTTCTAGGTGTCTCCTTTGTCTCCCTTTCCATCTTTGCAATATGCACTCCTTCCCTGCAGGAACAAACCGTGCACTCTTGTGCAAATCCACCGTAGATGGGTTGCAAGTGACACAGCTCAATATGGATCACACAACAGAGAATGAAGATGAGCTGTTTCGCTTTTCTCAACTGGGTGAGTATTTTGCTCCACACACAGCAGTGCAGCAAGCCCCGAGGATTGACGGACCACAACACACAGCTGAGTCAAGAAAGGAAGGGCTGCCAGATCATATGGTGGGTTCTGTGGTGGGCAGTGTCAAGTTAAAGCACTCAAATTAATAAATTACAATCTTCCTACCATATGGGATGCATCACTAAATATACAATTAGAAATTACTCACAACTGAGAGTCATACTGAGTAGAATTGACCTAGAATTTATAGATTGAGGTGCCACTTTTAATTTTTTATGTATCCAGCATTATTCGCAGCAGCTCAGGACAAATAGCTTTTAGAAATAAAGGTAAAGGTAGTCCCTTCACATGAATGTCTAATAGCCGACTGTAGGGGGCGGTGCTCATCTCCGTAACTAAGCTGAAGAGCCAGTGTTGTCAGAGACTGCTTTGTGATCATGTGGCCATCATGATTGCACAGAATGCTGTTTACCTTTCCACCAAAATGGTGCCTATTTATTTACTTGCATTTGCATACTTTCAAACTGCTAGGTTGGCAGAAGCTGGGACTAGTGACAGGAGCTCACCCTATCATGTGAAACTTGTGCCTCGAATTGCCAACCTTTTGATCTTCAGAACTGGCGTCTTAGCAAAGCAAAGCAGCTTCATTTATATACCGCTTCATATCGTGCTTTGGGATGTCTAAGCGGTTTACAACTGTAAGCTCATTGCCCCCCAACAGTTGGGTACTCATTTTAGCAACCTCGGAAGGATGCTGGCCTGAGTCTAGCCTGAGCCCTGCTAGTATTGAACTCGCAACCTTGTGGTCTATGAGTACAGGCATTTAACCACTGCGCCACCAGGGCTCCTAAGCCACTGCATCCCACTTACGTATTTAGAAATACATAACTAAAATAAATTATTCATTTCATGTTTATGTTAGAGGAAATCCAGTCACCAAAGAACCTCCTGCTTAATTGAATTTAAATTTAATTTTTTTTTTAAATATGGCTTGAGTCCAGCTTACTTGAAGGAACGCCTCCTCCCATATAATCCTTCCCACACACTCTGGGAGGAACTTACTACAGTCAATGAAAGCTAGACAGGTGGTGGCTTCCCAGAGGACCTTTTCAGCTGCTGCTCCTAAAATTTGGAATGACCTGCCAGAAGACACTCACCAGATTCCATCCCTTGACGTTTTTAAAAAAGCGTTAAAAACAATTCTCTTCCGGCAGGCCTTCCCAGACTGACCTCTGTCCTGATCTGAACTAACTGCTCATTTGATCTAGCTCCCCTAGGTATTGCCACTGTTATTGAAGGGAGGGTGGGTCGAAGGGGTGGGGGGTTCGGGGATTATTTTCTTATTATTATTTTTGTAATTGTTTTCATCTTTGCTGTTACCCACCTCGATCCTCAACAGCGAGAGGCAGGATACAAATAAATTAATAATAATAATAATAATAATAATAATTATTATTATTATTATTATTATTATTATCATCATCATCATCATCATCATCATTATTTGAGACTCCCTCAGTTGAAACACTGTTTCTTCTGCTACCCAGATTCAAACATGTATTGACTCTCAAAAAAGGGAGCTCCAAAGTTGGGGGTAAAGGGAGGGCAACCAAACAGAGTGCCACTCATGTACTTGACTCATACTTTTGATTATGCACACAAAGTACCCTATAAAAAGTCTGCCCTTTGCTGAAGTTGTAAGACAGTTGAGTAGGGGGAGAGTAATCTGTTAGCCCTCAGCATTTGCTACATTGGTAGGGGCTGAGGGGAGTTGCAGTGCAATAAGATCGGGGAGACTACAAGTTGTTTGTCCTCAGGGTAGAAAGGAAGAGGGCAAGAAGATACTGCTTCCAAACTGTAGCACAATTGTGTGTATTTGGAAATTGGAGTTGGAGAACTTTGAAGACAAACAGTGACAATAGGTAGAGAGCTCTTGCAGCACCTTTGAGACTAACTGAAAGAAAGAAATTGACAGCATGAGCTTTCGTAGACTTCAGTCTACTTCCTCAGATGCATTTGGTGGAGCGGAAGCCCGGCACAGACATATACATTCATCCCTCCCGATTTGCAGGGATCCATTCCAGACAACCACCACCCCGCAGATCCAAAAAACCACAAATATTCAAGTCCCCATTAGTTACAATGCCGCCGCGCTCCTGCACGTGCCATGTTGTCCCTCCCCGCTTGTCATCCACAAAGAAGCAAGACCGCGGACTCAAGTCCACAAATGGGGAAGGACGAGTGTATATGCCGCTGGTATTTGAGGATGTCAATTCAAATTACAAATCCTTTGTGTATGGAAATGAAGTGGCAGGTCCAGTTTTAATGATGGTCATTACTGCACAAATGCATAGGAAACTGGTCTTTGTGCATGGAAATGAACTGGTAGATCCAGTTTTGCAATGGGACTAGCCTGTGATGAGGGGAATAGATGAATGTAGGGCACCCCCATGAGGATGGGGTCAGATAGTGTTGAAGTGTGTGTAGTGAGTCAGGAAACCATTGTCTTTGTTCAATCCATTGCTGAGGAACTGTAGTCTATGGATGAATTCCAATTCTGCTGTTTCTTTTTCCAATTTATCTTTGTGGTTCTTTTGTTCAATGAACACTGTTCTGAGGTCTGAGATGGAAAGCCCAGGGAGACTGAAATGTTCTGCCACCAGCTTTTGTGTATTCCCATTCCTAATGTCTGGTTTATTTCCATTTATCCTTTGGTGCATGGACTGGCCTGTTTGCCCAATGGAGAGTGCTGAAGGGCATTGCTGACACAGTATAACATAGATCACATTGGAGGATGAGCATGTGAAGGCCCCACTAATATTGTGGGTGATGCCATTAGGTCTTGTGATGACATTTCCTGGATAAATGTGTGGGCAGAGTTGGCATCTTGGTTTGTGGCAAGGCTTAGTACCTGTGTCCCTATCTGTGTTGTGTGTTGTTGTGTGGGTGAGTACCTGTTTAAGGTTTGGAAGCTGCCTGTAGGCGAGTAAAGGTCTGCCATCAAGAGCCCCTGAAAGAGTGGCATTGTCCAGAATGGGTTGTAGTCATTGATAATGCGCCTGAGTGGTCCCAATTGGGAGCTGTATGTGACCACTAGTGGGGTTCTGTCATTTTCCCTCTTCAATTTGTTCTGTAATAGATCTGTCCTGGGTACACGGCTTGCCTTGTTTATTTGCTTTTTCACTTCATGGGGTGGGTACTGTAGTTTGAGGAATGCTTGTAATTCCTTGAGTTTGGCATCCCTGTCTTGTGGGTCTGAACAGATGCGATTGTATCAGAGGGCTTGGCTGTAGACGATGGATCTAGTGGTGTGTTCAGGGTGGAAACTAGAGGCATGTAAGTACATGTAGCGGTCCGTGGGTTTACGATATAGTGTGGTGCTTATTTGGCTATTTTGTAGCTGTACTGTGGTGTCCAGAAAGTGAACTTGTTCAGCAGATAGTTCCAGGCTATTCAGGTTGATGGGGGGGGGGGGGGGGGGGGGGGGGGGGGGGGAGTTGTTGAAACTCTGGTGAAATGTCTTGAGTGAATCCTCTCCTCGAGTCCAAATTATGGAGATGTCATCAATGTACCTCAGGTAGAGGAGCAGTTTCTGGGTGCAGGAGTTAAGGAAGTGTTATTCTAGGTCGGCCATGAAGATATTGGCATATTGTGGTGCCATGTGCATGCCCATGGTGGTGCCATTAACTTGAGGGTATATGTTGCTATCAAAGGTGAAATAATTGTGTGTGAGAACAAACTGGCAGACCTTAGTGGCTAAGTCTGATAGGTTCCCATCCAGAATGATGTTTCTGATGGCTTGTAGTCCATCTTTGTGTGGGATGTTGGTGTACAGGGATTCCACATCCATAGTGGCTAAGATGGTGTTTCCTGGAAGGTTGTGGATAGATTGTGTCTTCTATAGGAAGTCCATAGTGTCCTTCACATAGCTGGGGGTGTTGATGGCATATGGTTTAAGGATGTTGTCCATATATTTATGACAGCAGGTGGGAGGAAAAACATGGTGCCTTAATTTTGCCCTTGATCAACCTTTGTCTCCTGCTTGACTCCTCTGAGCATCCATGAGCTCCACCAGAAATGAAATTCCGTTCCTCATTCTTTGCTTGACAGTTCAGTTGGCATTTGGCAGGCAGCATCTACATTCTGATAGAGGTGATTTAGTGCTGGTATTGGGAAAATATGGTTGATAGCACAAGCTGTCAGGCTGGCATGCATATTAGCCTTGCTTTCGTCAGTCACAGCAGGCACCCAGAGGCCACTGAATGGTACAGTTCAGTCTGTCATGATGTCTGTTGTAATGACTGAAGTAAATTACCCTTGTTCTGTTGCTGCTGAGGGAACACAACAACATAGGAACCTGTTTTCTACTGAGCCAGCATTGTCCACTTCCCAGCAGTTTGTTATCAAGGTCATATGAATATATCTTTCTTAGTATGTCTGCCTGATCCTTTCAACTGGGTTACGATGAGGACTGAGCATTAGATCTTACAATCAGCATTTTGAAAATATTATATTTTTGGACAATAGCTTCCAGAATCCCATAGGCAATATGGTCTCTGGCCATGCTGCTTGGAGAATTCTTGGAGTTGTACTCCTAAAAGTAACTTTTCCTAGCTCTGTTCTGTATTCAAAGGGTATTTATCACTGTGCTGAATTGGTTCTTCACAGCATTTGACGTCTGAAATCATTGCAAGAATTATACTAAAATTATTTCCTAAATGGATTATTTTTTTTTCCCTGTCCCATCTCCTCCCTTAGGGGAGTGACATTAGTTTGTTTTTAAACCTCTGTGTCACTTTGCTGTCTTTTATACCCACTGTTGGAAGCCTGTCTGGTCACCTCCAGGTTTTGCTGATTCTTTGTTTTAAAATCATTTGCGCAGTCCAAAAGTCCTTAGATCAAACAGTGTTTCAAGTCAGATGTTTCATATAAACACTGTTGGAATTCTCTCAGTGGAAAACAATGGAAAAATCAACCTGGGAAATAACTTACATTGATTTTCAAACTGGGAAAACACTTGTGTTTTGTTTGCACAATGTTTGTTTTGAAAATAGAGATTGTGCACCCAGAAGGTACTACACTGAGTTTGGATGGGAGTAATTTAAATTCATTTCTCATCCATGAAGCCGAATGGATGGTTTTGCTCTCAAGTTGTGCCTGTGGCTAAGCTGCATTTCAAGTGAAGGTTGTTTAGGTTGCTATGAAGTTGGGAGAAAATGAGATCGAGCTATATTAAAACTAGCTCAGAGCTCTTGGGACTGTCTAGAAGAACTAATCTGTGAATTCACCGACACAACTTTTGGTTAGGTTGCTATATAGAAATGACTGACGTGGATTATAAAGTACAGTGAAGGGCTGTATTTGTAGAAATGGGCCAGATTTGCAACTGATCCTGAAATACAGATGCACCCCATTTCAAAACCTTGCCCCATCCCTGTTTCACATACAGGTCTACACTGAAATGGGGTTCAGCATCCATTGCTATCAGTATTACTGGCCTTTGAGATTTAATGGTTTACTCTGCCCTTCCTCAAGGTTATCTTGTTTGTCTTGGCTTGAGAAGTAGGTTTTGTCAGGAGAGAAGGATGGCCTCTGATCTCTTTTAGTTTACCTTTGTCAAAAAATTAAAATGCTTGAATGGCTTCATAGGGTTTTCTTAAGCAAGGGATATTCAGAGATGGTTTTTGGCAGTTCCTTCCTTTGAAACATAGTCTACAGCACCTGGTATTCATTGACATTCTCCCATTGAAGTACTAACCAGAACTGACCTTGCTTAGCTTCTAAGATCAGACAAGATCTGGCGCTTTTAGGGTATTTAGGCTGCCAGGATTTGATTCCCCGCTCGGC